ATTTTTAAGTCAACGCATGACAATGGATTCGTTCAGTTTAGGTTGTTTACAGTGAAAAAAAACAAACAAAAACATCACAAAGTGGGGGCTTAAAGAGAATGTCACATCAGTGGGAGAAAAGACAGGTGGCGTCTAACTCCAAAATCAATGTGTCAGCATGGCCGGCATTATGTAGGCCATGCTGGAAAGGAAGCCAGAGTGCAGAAAGGTTAAATCCACCGTGAGGCAGTAAAAGATTTGATTTCATACTGTTACCTTTACAAATGATTACAGACAGAAAAGGAAACAGGAAGTTAAATATGGCAGAAAACACAGAGGAGAAAAGAAAAAGACTATCAGACTCGTATCATTTCTGCCTGGTTGACTGTTTGGACAACCACAGCTTTTAGGCTCGCTGTGAAGCCTGGCTTCAGTTGTGTTTGTTATGTCACACGCCTGAAAGTAGCTCTGATCTCTCCGTCTCCATCTCCCTTGTCTTTGGGGACTGAGCTGATCTTGCAAATCAACCTCAGCCAGCACACCCGTCTACATCCAAGGCAAACAAGGGGAAGCAATTCAGTGCACAGCCACAGGAGAACTTAATTGATGAAGATAATAGGCACACCATCTGTCATTTCATAACATCCTTCACAGGCTCAGAAAGTAGCATTTCATGGCTAGAGCTCATTGCAGATGAAGCAGCTGCAGCATAATTGGGAAATTGTTTTGTTGTTTTTGTGTTTTGTTCACCAAATATGTCAAGGTGTAGTTTTTGGCTCTATGGTGATAACAGCAAATGTGAATGTTTAACATAAGAGCTAAAAGAAAAAAAGAAAAAAAAAGAAAAAAAAGAAAAACACTTTTTCCCAATAAAAAAATAATAATAAAAATCATATACTAGACAAAATCATCAAGTTATTGATGCAAAGACACATTACTAGTCCAGATTTACTGCCATGTAGGCTGATGTTGCACACATTATGACTGTCCTCTAATCAGTCTCCTTCCCTGCCCTAAAAGGTTCATTTACCCTAAACGTCAAATGATGCACAGCTTTCTATTCAATTTCTATATATTATATATTAATCATTTCCCCATTCTGCTTAAACACCTTCAATGTCACCTACTAAGCACAGAAATAACACTTAAACCACCACTAGTTCCACACTGATGAGTTATCACTTCAAATGATCAAAAAACAAACAAAAACACAAATACAATAGCTGACACATGATAAATACACAGCAAGATCTAAATCATCCTAACCAGATATCCAAGTCTGAGTGTGCACACACACAGATTCCTGAGGACAACACAAATGGAAGAAAAGCCATTTACTTACAGGAGGGAGACCTTATGCTGCTTGTATCATCACCCACTACTTGGCAGGACAATCACAATTATTTAAGCAACAGAGAGCAGGTGGAGAGGGGAGAGTTGAAGAAAGATGATGATGGTTATTCCATTCCGACCTAAACCCTGGATGCAAAGCAGCACAACCGGCTCAGTGAGAGAGCCGGGAAAGACGGAGAGAGGGAGAGAGAGGGAGAGGGGGTGGGGCGGGAAAATCAGACAGCGCGAGGGATGGTGAGAATATAAGAGGGTTAAAAAATTAAAAAAAAAAAAAACAATGTAGTCAGTTCACACCAAGAGGTGGGGAGCAGGGAGAGGTGATCTTGATGAAAATAAATAACTGAGGGAAGCATGTTTAAAAGGCAATACTTGATCAGTGCTCTCTTCACCTTTGAAAATATGCTGAAGGCTTCAGGACCTTGGACAGAGCTCTCTCTTTGCAACTAAAGATAATGCAACAGGGGACAGAAAGAAAAATAACTGATCCACTTCCAGTTTATGTGTCACCAGAGTCAGTAAGTTGTACTGCTTATAGATTAGACACCCAGTGCAGATCAATGCACTGCTTTTTGAAAACTCCAGACTCACATCTTCTTGCACGCCTGATGGATTGGTGTCTGATGCCGATGCCAACCTGATCTGCATCTGTCTGAGTTCACTCAGAGAAACACCCGAGTAGATGACTACTACAAGAGTGAATTCCTCTTCTTCTTTTTAAACTTCCAGTAAACCATTTTACTATCCACTAAAATTTATCAAGAAAAAAAATAATAGCTTGTGCTAAATTTACAGGCTCGGCAGTGTCAGGCTGTGATCCCACTTTCACAAGCCGTGAAGACAAGGCAGAGCAACCCAGGAGAGAGGTCACAGTGAAGTGAGGGAAACACTGCCACCTGCTGAGCTCATATGCCTTAGATTTCAGCAAGTAGTCTCAGTTAGAAAGCCAATCTCAGCCTAAATTAAAACAATACGCACACGAGAAAAGTCAGCCAAATGGAAAAGCAGCAGAAGTGACACCAGCATTCATTAAGGCAACTGACTGAAAGATCAGGTCAGGTCTACACAAGATCAATCTTATTGCCGGCTGACAGCGAGAGACTTGAAATCCAGTAAATTATACAGAAGACCTAAAGAATAAGGGCCTAAAAATTACACTGCACTGCATGTCTAAGCAAAGTAACAGTAGGCAACGTCAAGGATTTCACTTTGTCAGTTCTGCTCTGTATTGACACGCAAGTCATGTTGTGCTCGTGGCTCCCCCGAGGAGACAGAGAGGGAAGAGCGAGTTAGTAAATGCAGGCGCCTGGTCACTGATCCATGTTTGCTCATGGATAAAGAACAATATGCTCTGCATTACGCTGGAAACAAAACTCACCACAAATATAATGTTGACACTTTTTCCTGACTGACATGCAGCAAGTTAAGACGATATGAATACACTCAGCAGAAGTTGACAGATATTTAAATTTAAACAAACTCACTGCATCATCGAGTTACAAAGTCTAATGTTTGGCAGGTAATAACAGCATTTATGCAGCAAATATTGATTTCAGGCTCTACGATTGTATATGAACCATTTAACAAAGTCTCAGACTGACAGTTTCACTCTCTATCATGTGCTATGAAAGCAACAGCATACCCTGAGTGACTACTGCAGCGCACACAGGTGCTTTTTTTCCTGTGACTTCCTGTTTTAAAACGAGCATACATTCTGAATTATTACACAGCCTATTTAAACACCTTCTATGGGCCTTGACTTAAAGTATAACCGCTAACGGGATCTTTGTGGTGATGTCAGCTTGGACCTGAGACTTTTAAAGCCTGCCTGTGAAAACAAGATGTGTTGTTAAAGTGGTGGTTAAAACGTTTCTACAGTAGGAAACAAACGTCTTTAAAAACTTCTTTGGGGCAAAGTCAGCAAACTTTTTAAGTGGACTATATGCAGTTTTTGTATCCTAATGTGCGTTGAAATTAAAGTTAATTCAAAAATAACTGGCCAAATAAATGACCAGAGCTGTTTGGCTTCTTGAATTTAAAAGGACTTTGCTGAAGAGGCACAAAAAGAATGCTGTGTTGCACTATGGGAGCTGTAGGATGCAGCATTTTAGGAGTTTGGGACACACTATGGATTAAAAAGTCGCAGTGTGTGCCTCTTTGATTTTGTGCGTGTGTATATAAATGGACTGGCAATATATGGCACTTTCTTAGTCTTAGACTACTCAAAACATTTTACAACACTGTAAGCCACTCATGGCATTTATGCACATAATCATACAGTGAGTGCTTCATCGCTCACACACTGATGGATGCATGGGGGCAGTTTGGGGTTCAGGATCTTGATCTTGTGAGAACCAGTCCATGTGCCATTACTGTCATTTTGATTGCCTCCATTTTAAATGAGAAAATCTACTATTTGTATAATTACATTAGAGTAAAATATGTAGTAAAATGCTTCAGGGTTACATGGATGTTTTTATAATACCTTTCATATTCCTCTATAAATAAAAACGTTGCTAGTGTTTTACAAATATCTCTTTAAAACAGCCTTTACACTGCAATTGTAAATGTGTTACACCTATCGAAGCTTGTCTCAACTTCATATATAAAAAAATAAAAATCACATTGTGTCTTACAAACCTTTCCTGCATAGTATTTTTTCAAAAATCCCCATTAAATGGAAACTGCTTTGTGTCTATGTCACCCGCTCTGGATTATGAACTACCAATGAGACACCAGGGAAACCAAGCTGAGCAAAACTGGTTAAATACACAAAGAAGGTCATGTTCTGTGAAGAAAATAAAGGACATCAAACTGCAGTGGCACAAAAGCTTTAGCTGGACATCAGCATAATGGAACTGGTCACCAAAAATACACGCACACGCAAACACACACAGCCAAGCTGTTCAATAGCCTAACCTTTTCAAAATACAAATATACAAGCATTCCTGTCCTGCTTACTGGAAGTGATGAGCTGAAAAGCTCTCACATCCCCCTCCTGCCCAAGTCTATATTTAGTGATCTGACTTTCAAATGGAGGCCAGAGCAATATATAGCCTGTCTCAGTCTCTCTAGGCCCTGTCTGCAAAACAAAACATCCAGGCAGAGAGGCTCTGGGACGATGCCAGGGTGAAACGTGAAGAAAAACGGCTCTCCTCGACTTTTCCCACAGCCTTTGACCAGAAACCTTTAATACAAGCACACAAGAATAAGTCCCCTTGGAAAGGAGAGTGTTCTGCTGACAGGAGGTTGAATGGAAGCTTGGTTCTCACAGTCTTATTAGCATACTCCAGTTTGTTGAGTGAGCAGACAGCGCTGCCCTCTCCTGGCTCATAACGGAATGTGAATGACATTAAAGAAGCAGGACAGCTGTGATGAATATCAAATAGCACTGGACACCGGGGACCAGGAACAAAAACAGATATATCCAAATTTCTAGACTGGCCTAAAAACTGTGCAGAACTCTGCTTAACCAGTAGTGAAATCACCTGAGATAAACAAGACAAAGGCACACTGTTCTTTTTGCTCAAACTGACTCAGTCCAGCTTGTTATTTATCGGATTCTGACCAGTAACACCTTGCACCACCAGCTCACAGCCATCTTGCCCACAATTTATGTGTTGCAGAGCTATTTTTCTATTTAGGCAGCCGGTTACTACATCTGTCCTTACCAGACTGATCGTTCATCATCCGGATTGCTTTAGCTTTGGCCAACTCCAGTGCCGTGACCCATCTCTGCCGCTCCACTTCTGTGCTGGCCTTCAGATGGTAAGTGCGGCCGCCGCTGCTCAGCACAATATTGCAGGCGTCCTCTGTGTCGATGTGTGCAGTTGCAAGGTTTATAGTTCCTCGGCACGTGTGGGCCATCTCTGCCTGTGTCCTGCAAACAAAACGCCAAGTAGAAAAAGCTGAAAACTTGTTTTGTTTTATTTTTCCCCTGTCTTACAATCACATCATTCAATCCTAACACTGTAAATTCATGTTCATATCCATTACAGCAGGGGTGCAAGTAGGAGAGTGGAAGAGGCATGTGGCCAGTAAGAACAAGCAGGGAGGTATCCACGGTGATCGTGTCAGTCAGTTTTCAGGACTGTTCACATTATTTCACTCAATAAACACAACCTTATACATGAAATTACACCTGCATACAAATGGAGCTCCTGATTCACTCAGCGTGACCTGACTGCCCCTGCTGCGAGTGTGTTGAATTGTGGGTATCTGGGTAGCCTGTAAGTCCAACTGTTGCGCATAACAAGGCCTTTGTCTGAGCGAACACAGGCAAACAATGAAGAACAGTGTGAACAAAGAGAGAACAGAGTGTGAGAGGAGGTAAAAATGACAGAGCGATAGTAGGGAGACAGAACCAAAGCAGCAGGACGAGAGATTAGAACAAAGGGTAAAGGGAACAGTGGGTTGTATGAGTTGATGACTATATGTATTGTGTAAATCTTTGACAAAAGTGTACTCCAGGGCTGTTTCTAGCTCAAAATGGGCCTTTGCGGGTGGGAGGGGCACATCAACGCAATTGCTCTGCATATAAGTAAAGCACAAAACAAAACAAAAAAAAAAAAAAAAAAACTGTACTTAATAGAAGTCTATGCAAACATTAGTTATTTCAGTAGTTTTATGCTGAAAAACATACATCCTTTACATGTTTTGATACTTTCCTTTAGTGTGGCTGAATGAAAATATGTAACAGGCAAATACAGAAAATACCCCCAGCTGACCACAGCAGATGTCTGCCCCTCCCTGAGTCTGGTTCTGCCAGAGGTTTCTTCCTGTTAAAGGGAGTTTTTCCTTCCCACTGTTGCCAAGTGTTTGCTAATAGGGGGGTCATCTGATTGTTGGGGTTTTCTCTGGGGTCTTTACCTTACAATATAAAGTGTCTTCAGATGACTGTTGTTGTGATTTGGTGCTATATAAATGAAATCAAATTGAACTGAATTAAAAGGAAAATCCATTTCAATGAGGTTCGTTTAAATACAACTAGTTTTTTTTAATAACTGAAAAGAAAAAAACTCTACAAAAACTATGCACTTAACATTCTGCATTTGAAAACTGTCTGCCTGACATTTTGTCACAGTTAAGTGAACTGAACTGCAGGGCATGGGTAGACCCTCGTGGCCTTTTGAAGCAGGTTTTCAGCCCGACCACAGACTGCTGATTTTGCCGATTAACAGCCTCAACCGGGGAGCAGCAACTAATCAGCAAAATCATATGCTCCACTCGCTCTTGTGAAGTGCAGAGGTTGTGTCAAATGAAACAAAGAGATGCTCAGCCCTCCATGTCACATGTCTGCCTGCTCATACCCTTGGAAACGGCCCCTTTGACGCACCCGTGCAATCATGTGAATTTGTCTGTGGGTCCTAACATCCTTTCATCCATCCTCAGTGAGCTCTCCCTGCCACAAGCAGCTGCCTCTCAGCAGCACTAAGCTCCCCAACAGTTCCGGCCTCAGCTGACACTAACAAGGTGGTTGCCGCCTTGTTGAGTGAGAGTTTGAAGTGTATTTAAAAGTTCTGCCAGGCAGTGGCTTCCCCTATACAGCTTCTCCAGGCTGAAGTCAAGTCTTGTTATAATGCCAGTCCAGAACAAGCGGTTCAGTGTACCCTTCCTCTGGCACTCGGTGCACATCAGTTGCGCAGACAACACCGCACTGTGGCCATGCGAAGCAGCGCGGAGGGGCAGCCGGCAATCCTGAACAGCCCAGATTTCAGCCGAGCTCAGCTGCAGAGTGCCGGATTTAAGTGGGTCAACAAAGGGAATGTGCTGCTGATGAGTAAGATGAGAAGCCACACTGATCGCTTCTGCCCTATGGGGAGGTGAGGCCATGCAAAGGCCATGAAATCATACAGTCAAGGAAACTAAAAAAAGAAGCTGGGAAAGAGCGAAAAGAACCACGGAGGCATTAAGGCACTAGCAGAGGGGATAGGGGGAAGGTGAATGTGGGCTGCTGCTGCGGGTAAGCGAGGGGTCCTGCATGTTGCGCTCAGCCAGGAGAGAAATGCAGTGCTTTACCTGTCGGTCCCCTGCGCACAAATCCTCATAAAACACAAATCCACCGATCTGGAGCATGTAATGACAAAACAACAACCAGTGAAGAACACAGAACAGACGGCCGTAAGCATGAAGAGGCACACAGAAGAAGGCAAGGGAGTACCCTGAGCATGAGAACGCACAGTACACAAGTTTGTTATTCTGGCTGCGGGCCCATCACAAGACAGGGAAGAAGCCGGCGACTATGTCATGCTAATGAAAGAAAAGAAAGATAAGGAAACCAAAAGCAATGACACTGCAGCACGGATGGTGTGACATGACCTGCTGAAAAACCAAAACAATGAGATAATGAAAATGTGGCCAGACCCCCTGATCTCTTCAACATCACTGTGCTGCCCTCAGCTTGACATAAACACACAAACAAACACACACACTAAGAGATGTACACTCTTTAGCCTGGTGCAAATACCAGAAAACGAGCCCATTAACAAGATTAGATCAGCGCAGCAACATCTCTTGTTCCAGCCACTCTGCTGATGTGTCGGAATTGTAAACAGGATTCAGGCCAGGCTTTACCCTCCAGCTGGGCCGAAGGTTGGCCAGTTTCCCCGCTCCCTCCCCGCCTCCCAGGAGCTGAGAGGTGTGAGCTGTAACGCCAAAACCTGACTTTCCAAAGGGACGCAAGAGGTGCCGCCCCCCCACCGAGCATTTAAATTGATACTATCTAGTTACTCTCCCGCAGCTGAGAAGGAAACATGGAAGGCCTGGTCTAGTATGAAGAGCAAGGCTGGATTTACTGATACAGCAGCTCCAATAGCACTCAAAGCTTTAATACCCTGTAATCTTCCCTAACACACCAAGCTGGATATACTATAAGAGGTGAGAGTATTAAAACTGTGAGGAATAGTCAATTATGCATCTTTTTTTTTTTAAAGAAGTTCATTGAGAAAAGAAGGGAAATATCTCCTGATATTTCTGAGGCTGAAATAAAAGCCAGACAGAGCCGCAGTGTCACAGCCTTAACCAATCAATAACTACCGCCCTGTTGAATCTCTATAAAACTCATTGTAATTTACCAGGAGCAAGTACTGAGTGCGTCAGTCAGCCCACGAACCGTTTCTTATAACCCAGCAGTTGTGTCGCAGCACCAGCTCAAAGAACCAACCCGCTGCTTTATCAACAGCAGGCCTGAATGAAAGGAAACCTTTGGGGGCATTGACTAGTCTTAATTGCCACGTCTGTCAGTACTGATTTATCACAAATACAAAGTACCCTTTTTAAAGGGGGCGGGTGGACCCTGCGAATTATTAAACAAAGCAAAAATGATTAAATGCAGGACAGGCTACATGAGGTTTGATGAAAGTGGTCTTTGCTTTAAAGTGTGTGACACGGTTTAATGTGTTGTGAATTGTATTTCCATTAAATCAGATAACACGCTGATGCAAAGTGACATCGTCTTTCTTCTGATGCTTCAACCTAAAGACAAAAAACAGTCAGAAAACACTTTAACCTAACACGTTGTCACATTTGACTGACTGTTTCCCCTTTACTTCACTCACAAAAGAAGCGCAGACAGTCAGCCAGAGAAGGCGCAACACAAAGCCTGAAGTCAGACACGCACAGTGTGGTCTGCCAGGAAGACAGCAGTGGAGGGGACAGCTCGTTCGCTTCGCTGCCTCTGTGCTCAGATGTCGACGGGCTACCTTTACTCCGGGGACAGCAGTCACCTTACAACATAATGGACTATTAATAGAGGGTAGAGGCAACAGGCATCTTTCCTTTCACCACAAGCACGGGCAGGTGTGGGGCCGCATCTACCACACCTCTGTCAAATAACCCCGCTGGCACGAAAAGACAAAGAGTCTGTTTCAGAAAGTGTGGCATGAAATGGTCTGAAAAGAGATTTGATTGTGTTTCTGCCAGCACACAGAGTAGAGAAAGCTCCCTATTCAATCTCCATTTTTAGTTTTGGAGCTGCAGGAAAACATCGTGAGTCAGAAGTTTGCTTCACAGCCCGGGGAGGCAAAATCGTACTGATGAGCATTCGCCGCGTTATTTGATGTACACAGACGGTTCGCAGGGGACCCTTTAAACAAGCACTCTAACCTCCCAATTAAAGATGACATTTGAAAAAGACATTAACCCAGAGGGATCAACTTATGATTTGCATTATTTTATGGCTGCAAGCAATTACAGAGTGCATTAACACATCATGCTAGAGCCATCTAAACTGTGAAAGCATTTAAACTTCACAGTCAAGGCTTTGACTCGCAGCATGGTGAGCAGAGGAAGGTTAATGCCATTAGGTGCACCTTCACTCTTTAATTAGGGAAACTGGGTCAGAGACAGGGCGAACATCTGTTGCTGGAAAACACTATGACCAAAAGATCCCACTGATATAAATGACAGGCCTCAGTATGACGTACAAACTGCTGAAACCGTCTGTGTACATCAAATAATGCAGGGTGTTTCAGTGTTGACAAAAGCAGCAGCAATAGCAAACAAACAGGTTAAACATGCAACAGCCAAGCAGTGAAAGTGAAAATCAACTAATTTTGCATGACCAAACAGCAGCTCAAGATCTGGCTTTCTGCCTCTGTCCCACCATCTTTGTCAGTATATCAAAGAGGTTTAGGGGGAAAGCTGTGAAGATTATGTCACACAAAGCAGGTACAGCTTTGTTCCAGAGTCTGGTTCTGCCTGATGTTCCTTCCTGCCAAAAGGAGGTTTTTCCTTCTCGCTGTCACCAAGTGTTTGCTCATAAAAGGTCATATGATTGGGGCGTTTCTCTATTATTGTAGGGTCTTTAGCTTATGATATAAAGTGATTTGAGGCGACTGTTCTTTTGATTTGGCTTTATATAAAATAACATAAACTTAATTGAAGCAAGTCTGTAATTCTCATTGCTGTTGCCAAGGAGATTTGTTGATTCTGACTGGCTTTAAATTGAAGTGCTATAGTATAAATCCACGTTACTAACTGAAATAAGCCTAGGAGCTGGCGTGCTTTACGATCCATTCAGAGAGCTCATGTATGAGCTTGAACACCTGCACCTGCGGAAACATGACTCCCGCGGAGAAAGCACCTGATCCACAGGTGCTACTACAGCTAACACTAGCTCGCAGCTACCTGGCTGTGCGATAGGAGCGAGGACAGACGGATAAACGATAGCGACCTTCTCTCGCACAGTATCCCGTTACGGCGATCATACTAAGTGGCTGGGCTCAGTAACGTGACCGTGATGCAATGAATGAATGCACTCTGAAAAGTAACGTGGCGGTCATGTGGCGAAGGTATTTGAGACGGTGAAAGTCACATAAAAAGAAGTATTCAGGGCGAAGGGTTATTAAATGTGTGTTAAAAGCGGCCGGGCACCCTGTCGTGTCGGTCTCCCCGGGCGGACAGCTGGATCTGCAGCCGCCTGACAGCTGATGACAGGAGGCTATCGTGCTAGCTTGGTGTGCTGGCTAACGTCTGCGCCTGCCGTGACATGATTTCCCACTTATTTAAAGGACTAGCTGCCCTATATGTCCCCGTCTGTGTCACTGTCTCTCCGCGCCCAGCTGTCTTTTAAAGAAAATCCTGACTTTCTCCTCCGTCACAGCTCCGGTAGCTAGCTCTAGCCTGCTGCTAAACAGCTGAGGCAGCCAGCTGTAGTGATGCGCCGACACAGAAATGTGAGCACAAGTGGCGTTTACATTTTCCAGGGGGAGGGAGGAGGAAACATACACGCCATGCGTGCGATATTTACCTGTAATATGACAGCAGGCCATTGCTGAGGACAAACCACCGCCGCTGGTAGCCTTTCAGATAATTGGTCCATTTAAAAAGCCAGCCTTTGTAAGTATCCGACCCAGGTGCCGGGGCCGCGGCAGAGGCGGATGCCGAGCCCTTCCCTTGCTCGCTCATCCTCGGCTCCGCCGCACGCCACAGAGTGCTGGATAAACCGGGAGCAGCGGAGACAGGGACACTAGCCCCAGATGGTCCACCAGGGCGAGGACCTTGTCACTGACAAATGAGATCGACGGAAGAGGGTCCGGTGTAGGACGAGAGAAACCACCGTAAACCCCCTTCACATGACGCCGGAATGGACACCGGAGGAAGAACGAGAAGTGATGCCAAGACACTTTGCTGATGCAGACTGCAGAGGATTCAGAGCACAGAGCTGGGCTGGATAGAAGGGAGAGCCCTTACATGGTCTCAGCGTAACCTGACAAGGCTGCCATCAAACTAAATTACTTACATTACGACAGCGATAAACAGTTTGTGGCACCAATTTTAGGGAGAGGGCGGCCGCTACCCCGGCCACTCATTGAGGGGGTTGCACTGAGGGGGAGTGTCCGCTCTATCAATTCAAGTCTATAATTCAGCCCCGCACCACGTGACGTTGTTATCTAAACATTCCTAAACATTTGACATGCGGTTTTGGCTCCTGAATTCTGATCTGATGCTGTCAGATTGAGTAGGGCAGACAAACCAAGTTAATCATCAGTGTTATTAATCCAGCCTGTGCCTTTGCTTATAATCCAGGTCCTAATAAATCAGTGGTACCGGTGCACATCAGGGTGAGACACTTTTGGCACCCTTTTACTTGTGAAAAAACACATTGAGTGTAGGGCAATCTGCATTTGAAGTAACAAATAAACCACATGACTAAGAAAGCCTGCCCCAGAGCTACTGCCTGCTCTTTGGGGGTTTGCTGTGTTATTACTTAATCTTAAATCCCCGGACTGCCCAGGGTAACCTGTGTCATTTTATTCTTTTAGTTTGTATTATGCTGTCACCTAAATGGGATCGTGATATATATGCACAATAAACAGGGCCACAGATAGAACCAAATAATCATTTTTTCCACCCACCATCACCAGTACAACGAGCATAAGTCTACGCTTTCACAATGTTATACAAATGTTTGTCCCCAGAGTCCGAATGGAATAAAGGGGAAAGGCTTGTAAAGCTGTGGCCTCTGTTTCCTGGAATAATATCCTACAGAAGGAGATGACAATGTCCACTTTAAAGGAGCGAGAGAATAGCTCTTTTGGTCAGTGTGACTGCTTTTGTAATGATCTGTTATTTATCTGTTATATGATTTGCATGTTTGTGTTCAACTGTGTGTACTGAATGTCAGGTGTATGTCTTTCTTTACTTGTCATATTGTTATGTGTTGTATTTAGTCAGGTCCCTCTTGGAAAACGCATGTCTTTCAGTACAGCAGGCCTCCTTTTACAGTAGAGAAACATTTATTCAGTGAATTTTCAGTCCATCTAGACTGGATATATCATCACAATGCCACCTTAAATGAACTGAGTTGGTTAAAACTAGTGTGTGTGTGTGTGGGGGGCGTCAGACACATGTTCGAGCAAAAATCCAGTAACTGGAAGTGTGTTTGATGCTTCTGATGTGGTTCCTGATAACATCGCTTTACCACAAGATGGCAATGTTGTAGAATTGATCCTAATGTGGTGAAGCCATGAAAAACACAAGGAGAAAAAAAAGGGGGACTATGCGCTTACCTGCTGCTCTCTGGCAGGTAGCTCCATGCCCTCCTGGGTTTTAATTGCACCTTAGAACACACATGCATCAACACTACAATGAGCGGGTGGAGGGAGGTTTGGAGTCTTCTCTCACCCCCGTTCTCTGCGGCCTGCTGGAGCGGGGGGGCTAGGAGGAGTTGGCCGTCCGACTGCGGTCTGGGGTGTGGGGCCTCCCTGCTGCTGCGGAGTCAGGGCGGTCTGCCTCTCCCCACCGCAGGGAAAAGGGTAACACCACCTGGGTCTGGGTGCAGTTCCCCCCTCCAGGGGCAAGGGTACCTAGACCCAGTTCGTAGAGTACGCTTGGGGAGTGTGATCGTGTGTACAGCGTCTCTTTAGGTCTGTCTCCATGTTGGTTGAGTGTGGAGTGAGTGCATATGAGAGCATGAGGGTGGGGATGGATGTTTGTGTCTGTGTGTGCCTGTATGTCTGTGTCTATATGTCAGGTTGGGTATCAGACGCCACCTCTCTGGGGACATCTCAGGCCCTCCAAGGTTTGGAGGCCTATCTCCACCCACCACTTCCCCTGCCAGTGGCGGACTCCCTCAGGTGTCGGTGCGTTGGTGGTTCTTTGTGTCTGGGGGTGGGCGTCCGGGTACACACCGGCTCACTCCTTGGCGGCCGCTTATCGGGGCCTGGAGCCTGGGGCTCGCTCGGGCCACTTCGGAGGTGGGGTGCCCCCGGCCTCTCGGCCTGGGGCTCGGTCACTCAGGCACGGCTGGCTGCCGGCGGAGCTCACGGGCGCGTCACTGCAACTCCCCCTGGCTTCTGCTCCGCGGCTGCTGAGTGAGCCCTCATCTGGGACTCTCCTCAGCTCTTACTGGGACAGTGGCGCGGCTGCCCCTCTGTTGGTCTTCCTTGGTCTCTTGTGTTCTGGGGGCCTCTGGATGTCTGGATTTTTGATCTCCTCCATACCTGCTTCATACCTTGGAGGACGGGGCTGTGGCCCCCCACACTCTCTAGCAGATCGTTACATGGAGAAACCTTTGGAATGCAAGCATGCTGATCCACACAGGTATGCACACAGGTGTACACACGGGTATTCACAGACGTGGACTACAGCTTTCTTGGCTGCTGCCTCAAAGCACATTGTACGCTGTCTATCTTGCGTGCTGCACAATATCGTTTATTATTTAGTATCTACTGATATCTACTGCTAGCTAGTTTATTGTGATGGTGCCGTTTTTTTTATTATGTTGCTCTTTGTTGTTTGCTTTCTCTTCTGTTTTTTTTTCTCCATACAGGTGACCCAGGTGTTTTGTTTTTTTTGTTTGTTTTTCTTTCTTTCTTCTCCCCCTTCTCACCGTCTCTTCTCCCCTTTGGTTTTCTTTCTCTCCCTCTCTTTCTTTCATTCTTTCTCCCTGTCCTATCCCCCAGTCATGTCTGTCCCGTTTGTAGCAACTGAAAATAAAATAAATTCATAATTATAATAAAGGTCAATCAAATGGACCAATATGGCAAGGCCATGATGATCCACTTGGTAAAATAAATCCGCTTGGCATCTTTCTTGGCCTCAAGACAACAATTCTGATGGCTAAAGTTCCAAACGGGACACAAAAGGAAAAAAAAAAAAAGGAGAAAAAAAAGGGACCAGAGCAAGGTTGTTGTTCTCAAATGCTTTTAATAATCATGTGTCAGAAAGAACAAACAAAACAAAAAGCAACCAAAAGCCAAAAAAAATTACTTACAGTACTGACACTGTAAAAATAACACAACACAAGTGATGTATGTGATAAAAAACAGTAGCCCTTTTTATTTGAAAATGCACACAAACGAAATGATGAGAACTCATGCTACACGCAGTTGCTTTCTAGTTTATCTCTGCTACATATTTCTCTTTTTTTTCCAACTAGAAAAACAAACAAACAAACAAAAAATCTAACACAGACATTTGGCCCGACTGAAGGGTTCAACAATACACCTTGGTAGAGTATCGTGAGCTTGTGCTCTCACATGCCGGTGAAAAACGACCACATTCACTCCACTCAGTTGCTCATTACAGCGTCAAAAAACCATGTATTACAAAAATTAAACACAGTATCACATTTTCACATCAGTGCAATTAAACCCTGAACCGTTGCCTCTACCAACAAAAGCATGCAACTCAATTAGTCTATGAATCAGTCGTGTATATACAATAGATCTGCTTGCTTTCAGTGCTGGCATATTCACATACCTCGGCCTAATGAAATGAAAAGAGTTGCTGTTAATTTCACGATATGACCAATTAGATAGTATTCACATATTGATATGCGTGTGTATTTCTGCTGGAGCGCAAGTGGATTACATTGACTGTGTGTAGCGAGGCATTTTTAATATAATAATGTGGCACATATAGTCAGTCTGGACATCCCCGTGTGTGTTTATTGCTCCTTTCTAATCCAGTGCTTCAACATCTGTCTGTTATCTTGCCGCGTCTGTCCTTTGCTTGCCTGAATGTCAACTATAAACCTGCCTCTCCCTCTCTCCATCTCTTTCTCTCTCTCTCTCTCTCTCTCTCTCTCTCACACACACACACACACACACACACACACACACACACACACACACACACACACACACACACACACACACGCACTCCACACACAGGTTCTTGTTTCAGGCTCCGGAGCCTCCTGCTGGTTCCCCGTTCCCTGGATTTAATGTATTCATCAGAAACAGACACTGAGTGAGGGGAGGGAGCAGATTAAAGTCCTACAGTACATGATAAGGGACTGCAGCATTTTCTGCTGCAAGACAACCTTAAAACAGCCTTTCTGTGAACAAGCAGCTTTTACTGTCGGCCAAGATTCTAATAGAGGATGGGGCAGAGAACAAAAATGCATGGCTACTTCTCAGAATCTAAAATTAAACACCACCTAACCATATCTATCTATGTACTTTTTGAGATAACTGGCGCAGAAAATGAGCGCTCTCACTTTTTATCGTTTCCATCTTTTTGCCTGTCGGTCTCATGCACAAATCCCAATAAATCCAGTGATGTTAGATGTGAGCTTCTGCTTTTGACCTTACAGAGTGTGGCAAATTCAAAAGGAAGACTGGATGATATTGCTGCCTGTCCGCTTTGACTCTCACAAACACAGCTTCTGCCCTGTCAGGCCCAGCGACAGACCTTTCATATTGGGAAGCGCAGCCTGAAATGTTGACCTGTGATGTGAGAAACATATCTGTGCTATGCTTTTTGTATTGTTTGTCACCTGCTTTCTTTTTCCCATTTCCTTCCTTGTTTCTACACAGTTGACTAGGAAGTGGTTGGATGACCATGTGTGTAATTTGAGTGTCTTTTACAGCGCACGAATCTAATAAACCTCATTAAGAAAAATCAGCTCAGTAAAGCAGGAGGCCACGGGGTTATTTTTCCCAGCCATTTTGATAGAAAGTCCTTCTCTCTGCTGCCGCTCCACTCCTGAGTTGGCAGGGGTGGAGGGAGCTCTGAGGGTCACATGATGGTGCAGCGATTCCTCTGTAGCGCCCCCTGCAAACGAATGGAGGTGTGGTTCTGGCGCATCCCCCGTGCCACAGCAATCCCCAGCAGCTCCTTGAAGAGCAGGACTACGTGCCAGTTAAACTTGGCAGAGCACTCCACATAACCGCACTTCCATGTCTTCTTCACCAGAACCGACACGGCCCTGCGAGGCATGAAGCGCTGACGCTGCAGATCTCTCTTGTTACCCACCACCAGGATTGGCACCTCGCTGCTGCTACCTTCCCTGCAGGAGTATGAGAAAAGAAGGTTGTGTTATTTATTTTTATTTTTTTAAACCCAGCAAAGCCATCGTGTTGGTGTTTGTCACAGCTGTTGTCTCTGCATAGTTTTCCCTTCCTTCTGAGGTGTGTGGGGGTGGACTGGAGGATTAAAACTCACAGGCTCAAGGGGCCTCCCACCGCATGCTGCAGTGAGGGCTTTACAGCATTATTGAGTGGGAAAATGTACGGCAAGCCGGAGGGATGTGTTATAAAATTCTAACTCAGAAGCAAAATCAGAATACTTTATTAATCCCAATGGAATTTATGTGGCCACAGTTGCGCGAAGGCAGTAACAAACAAGTTAAAGTACCAATAATAAATAATAAAATATATTACAAAACTACTCTAATATATAAATACCCCCAATATGTTACACTAACAACCTAGGCACCCCTCTCGTCATACTGACAGTTTTCTTCTCTGTAGAGGACGTGCAGATTATTAAAAGTAAGACCTGCAAATATAAAGATTAGTCCTGCAGCACTAATGAAAAACATACAGCACCTCTTCAAGTCGACCACAATTAACCGTGATTAGTGATGGTTTAGAAGTGTTTAAATGAAAAGAAGTTTAGTGCAGCAGTGTGGGAAATTAAGCTGCAGGAGTTTAGAGTAAAATGAAGTGTTGATGATAACAATAATATTCATTTTGCTGCTTATTTAGGAGGCAAGGTCATTGGGTTAATGATTTGTAATAATAATTTTAAAAAGCCTTAGAATATAAACTATTTAGGAAAAGCTGTAACAACCGATGTTGAACTCAGAACATCTAGAAAAGACAAGTGTATAAACTGTTTAAACAGCTGCCTTAACAACTTAGCTCTTTCTCTCAGAACGAATGATGGCTTATTTTGTATGACAAAGACTTTTGCATACTTTTGCATATTTGCACGTCTGCCTCGACAGATGGATAAAATGGCTCGCCGAAGAGAAGGCGATGCAGCCTGAGAGAGATGAGCGGTGCAATTTTCAAGCCCCGAGGCGAAGTTCTCAAAACTTGGGAGCTGAACAACCACACGGCAGCAATCATCTCACTTTTCTCCTTTTCACAGGTTGTGCTCACATAACAGCCTTAAAAATATCTCCTTGCATATCTGCTCGGGCTTGACTACTTGTGCACAATGAGGTGAACTAAATGTGGGAGGCGGTGTGCGTGCATCCCTTCATGAGAATGGGGGGGGCGCGGGGGGGGGGGGGGGGGTAGGAATGATGGAAGGACAACACTGTCACAAGCCTCACTGAACTGAAGGTAGGCTCCTCGCTAGTGGGAACCAGAATAATAAAAGATTTCTGAGGAACATTTCAACAATAGACTTTTTTTTTTCGACAGCTGACACACAGAGTAAAAAAAACTCCTCCAAAACTCGATTATTAATGATTCCTCTTACAGTATCTGCCCCCTTCTCCTCCCCTTCCTTTCCTTTCCTTCTCCAGTCTGATGTTAGACTCTCCATGATTGCACATTTTCCCCCTATTGCCTATTCCTCTCACATTCACCATTTCTTCCATAGTTGCTGGGGATAATAGGTTTCTGTCTTAGATCATAAACATTCGTGGTTACACGTTCAGAGCTGCGAGAAAGTGGGCATCAACTGTGGAGAGGCAGTTTGGTGTTGTACAACATGGCAAACAAATGAAGCCACCCAATGCACCTTTCTATATGTAAATATATGCATGCAGCTGACGACTGGAGAGCGAGGGATTTCTGGCCCCATATGCAGCAGGTGCAAAGCAAATCCAGGAAGCATTTACTGTATGTTATCTGTGGGCCTTCTGTACACTAAATGTACGACTGTCCCAAGAATAGCCTTTAAATTACTAGTGTGGGTTTAGGCATCACACAAGAATCAAATGTCATCAGACAGTGAACTGTCATCATGACGAGCGCGCACGCTAAATTGAAAGATACCACCACAAGAAGCCTAAAAATCACTGTCACCATCATGTAATTGTACAGCTTTGTGACAGGCTGTGAAATTGTGTGCTGTCTTCAGACGGGTGACGGGATGATTTCATTACAAATCATCAGTGAAGGATAACAAGCTGTGTGTCAGCGGTTTAACAAAAAAAAGCAGGATTGTTGTATTACATTTAGTTAAAAATGAAATGCAAATCATTCAAACTTATATTCAAATGAAAACAGCACAAAAACAACACATGAATTGTTGAAATAATTTTTTTTATTGAATTTGATTTCAGCAACATATTTTTTTAAAGGTTGAGACATGTTTAATACTTTGTTGCCTCTATCTTTCTATGCAGCCATGTTGCCGTAATACAAGTGGAATTTGGTTTCGCACTCTTTAAGAAATAAACAAGGCCTTTCCTGAGAAACACCCCCTCTGGATGGCAGCACACGTTGCTCCAAAACGTGCATACGGAGCCTTCAAAGGTGTAAGTTACTTATGGCATGTGCACTAATGATCTTCTATACGATTACAGTATGGATGTTGGCTTTTTAAGCTGTGCACTGATAACAATCTGAATAGTCCAATCCTATGCATGACTCGACTACACTAGAATTTCTGTGAAAAACTAAACATCATTACTGCTTCCACTGGAAATAAGATGGTAAGAAACAGCCAGGTGCTGCTAGTCAAATGTAGCTGTTTGTTAAGACAATGTCACAGTCTTTCCAGGAGTGTATGTCCGACCAATTTCACTCCAAGGTCAGACTGTGCAATGCTCAGGGAAACCTTGACAAATTCTAGTTAGTACAACCGTCAAGTGTCACCTTGGGCTTGTTTTACCTTGCAATCAATGACTCAGTATTCAGTAGAAAAGTATTCTAGATGCCGTCTTCCAACAGCTAATTGGGAATTGGGCCATGCAACAGGACAACGATCCCAAGCAAAGCAGCAAATTTACAACAGAATGTCTGAAAAAGAACAGAAACAAAGTTCTGCAATGTTCCAGGCAAAGCGTAGACCTCAACCTGCTTGAACTGCTGTGGTGGACTCTTGACAGAGCTAATGCTAACAAACCTCAATGAACTGAAGCAAAGTTGTAAAGAAGAGTGGAGCTAAAGTAAAAAAAAAAGTCAAAGTGAGAGCCTGCTGGGCTCTGTATAAAAATCCCACAGAAAACTATTACTTTACGTTATTGCTGCTAAAGGTGGCTCTACAAGCTAAAACTTTCTTTTCCACATTTTCACATGCTGGGCCTTTATTTTTTGGTATTTTGTACTTTGATGATAAAATCCCCCAAACGTGTTGTAATTTTTATGTTCTAAACATTATTCTTATGCATTTATTTGTTTTAAAAAAAAGGGTGGTAAACCCACCGTCCTCTTAATTCTCAGTTCTGAAAGGCTCAGCCTCTGTGGGATGCTCTTTTATGTTACTGACCTGTTGCTAATTAACCTAATTAGCTCTGAGATGTTCCAACAGCTTTTTTTTTTCAGCATTACGTAATATTTCTGGTCTTTTGTTGTCCCTGTCCTAGATTTTTTTTTTTTTTTAAATTAGAAAACAGTAATGCCTGTGAGTCTTGACAGCGTCATTGTGGTTCAGTTTTCAATTAAATATAGGGTTTAAAGCACGGGTGTCAAACACAAGGCCCAGGACGAAGAATTTCCAATGGAAAAAAATACCCCCCTCCTCCCCCCCAATAGATAAATGCTTAATTTACAGGAAAATCTCTGTTTTGTAAATTAACAAAAGCTTAATATTTTAAAATAAAAAAAATCGAAGGAGTGTCTGGTAAATTAACTACCACTAAACATTTTTCTGTAATTTCATATATTTATCATGTAGTTTCACTGGTCTGGCCCACTTAAGATCAAAGCAGGCTGTATGTATGTGATGCATGATGTCCAATGAGTTTGACAGTCCTGGTTTGAAGCTTTTGGACGGTATGTTGAACATCTGCGTTGTCAGCAGAGAGTGTTTGTGACCATACCTGTTCTCTACTATCTGCTGTCGGATCATTTTGACGTATTCAAAGCTCTCCACGCAGCAGATGTCATACACCAGGATGTATGCGTTGGCATTACGAACACCTCTGCAGCGCAAATCCAGCCATTCCTGAAAGGACAGATATGTAGAGAAACACATAAATATGCAAACATATGAGTACGTCCAAGACCCGTTTTAGTCAAGCTTAAGAACTGACATGGTCTCTTGGGTATGCTGACGTATTAGATGGAAGACTTTGCAGATGTGTAAGGTTCCCAGGTAGTGTGTCCTAATGGCTTTGTCAAAGTCTGACATTTCCTCAAATGCCACAATGAGGTTATTTGTGGTTCTGAGTGAAATGGCTCATCGGCTCATGAATACGTTCTTGTGAAATTGGGTGTGGACATTAATTTCCCCTTCAGGACAAACTGATGACTTTGCCACCAGCGTCATCATCAAAGAGAAATTTCAATCCAATACTTTGATTCATGACAGATTAAAAGACTAACGATAATCCCATCAGCCTCGGTTAATTTTTTTCCCCTCTTTATGTAACAGAACTTTGCTCTGTCACAGTTTGCTTCCCTTTGCAGTTACAAATTTCCCACGTGTGGGACTAATAAAGGTTATCTTATCTTATCTTATCTTATCTTAAAGTGCAGTGTATGAATTCCTCGAGTAGACATGGTTCTGGGAATCTTACAGCTTTGAACAAAGTCATGAAAACACGATGACCCCGCAGTAAAACACTGCACGCTGTTCAAGGACAAAGACGGAGGCTGGGGGAAAGAAAACGCACAACCTTCTGTCAGGAGAGGAAAAAAGGGAACGCGGTGCTCTGATGTGGCAAAAAAGCAACATTTTGTTCATGCTAATGGTTTTCAAAGCATAATTGTGTGGATGCCTTAATAGGCATCCACACTATTGAGATCCTGTTTCTCTTTCTTCTTTATTATTATTCCGGGTGTTTCCGTACACTTTTTGCCGTGGATCTACTTCCACAATTTTTGTGCTATTTTCACCGTTCAAACTCTAAACTGTTCTGCTCTTTCTGCTAATGCCGGCTATGACTTTTGATGTTTATTACTATTATACTTTTTAAAATAATTACACTTTTTTCCTTTAATTTGTCCCATTGAAATGAATGGGAAACTTCCACAATTCTGCTAAAACTTTCTTGTCTTTGAAACTTAACTACTGCCTCATACTTTCACCTAGAAACTTCATTCAAACTTTAAAATGTTCTCAAATGATTTGGCTATTCCTGTATGATTCAGCTTTTTCAGATCTTCTACCGTTTTAATCTTATCCCTCTTTGAGTTTTCAGTTGCAAAATTGTGATTTTTCAGAAAATACATGCGTTGCTATGGTTGCTATGCAATTAACTCAGAGGGGACAGTGAAACTGTTTGAATTTTCTCTTCATGTCCAAACAACTTCTTGCTACTCGCTCAATTTCCACTCAAGCCCCACAAATTATACACCAAAACGTAGGTATTTTTGCTGGCTTTCAGAAAATGTCACTATCATTGTTGTGGGACTCATAGATATTTTGCAAATCTCCTCAGAGTAACACAAAGTCAGAAAACTCTCCATATAAACTCAATGGAGAGTTTGTTCAAAATCACCGCTGGATTTCTCTAATGAGAGGCATTTTCAAATTGTCATATCTCCTTAACGAAGCGAAGTTAAGACATGAGGCTTGTCCCCGTATATGTTCAGACACTCCTGACGCTCACAATTCAAGAATTTCTTTCTCACCTATTACCGTTCTGAAATGAGTTGGACTTGTTTGAGGGTAGGAAATTTGTCCCTCGCTCAGATTTCATCAGATTTCAATCTCTGGAAATGAACCACTTTTTTCTCTCGTCATATCTTTTTGATGGATTTCCACAGAGCCCTGAAAATTTCCATGACTGTTCACCAAAGCCTGCTGTTTCTTACGGTGAAAGAATGATTTTGATGCTCCATATAGATTTAGAGTTACCAAAGGTTGTTTGAGCGCAAGTCAAGGCAGTTTTTGCTTCGCCTCTACTCAGTTACAGTGTATTACAAGTCATATATCTTTAAGAATTTATGTTTTATCTCTGAATTATGAAGACCTGAAGATTCCCCCATCTCTTCTGAATAAAACGATGCCTGAATGACCGTTCTAGCCTCTACAGTTAGGAAATTATGGCCATTTGTTCGAGGGGAATCCTGAATGTCAGAAATACACTGAAGAAAACTCACACCTCTCTCTGTGTCTGTGTGTGTAAGGGCTGACTACAGCAGGTGCAGCTAATTTAACTGACCTACATATACCAAGCCCAGACTCTCCACAGCTCCTGTTCCCTTTACTGTCTGTGTATGTGTGTCTGTGTATCAATATTTCTCCTATGTTTAGGTATTACTCCTCAATCATAGTATTTCTGCTAAAGCAAAGTACTTCTACTACATCTAAGTACTTTTGCCAAATCATAGTATTTCTGCTAAATCATAGTATTTCTGCCAATTCATAGTATTTTTGCAAAATCATGGTATTTGTGCAAAATCATGGTTTTGGGGCCAAATATTTCTGTTATTTTATAATATATGTGCTGAATATATTATATGTGCCAAATCATAGTATTTATCCCAAATTATAGTATTTATGCCAAATTACAGTATTTCTGCTAAAACGCAGAAATAGTACCTTTTAGCAGGAATTTCTACCAAAAGATAGTACTTCTGCTAAATCAGAGTATTTCTGCTAAACCAGAGTATTCCTGCCAAATCATAGTATTTGTACTGAAACATGGTACTTCTGCCCAATCATAGTATTTATACCCAATCATAGTATTTCTGCTAAATCATAGCATTTGTGCCAAATCATGGTATTTGTGCAAAAACATAGTATGTCTGCAAAACCATAGTATATCTCTTATGTTATAGTATTACTACTAAGGCATAGTATTTCTGCCAAATCATAGTATGTGTGCCAAATCGCAGTATTTATACCAAATCACAGTATTTGTGGTAAAACATAGTATTTCTGCCATATTGTGGTATTTGTGCAAGAACATTGAACTGTTATGTTATAGTATTACTACTAAGTCATAGTATTTCTGCATTGTTATAGTATTTGTACTAAAACGTAGTATCTCTGCCAAGTCATAGAATTACTGCAATTTCATAGTTTTTTTTAGGAAATCTGTTATGTTATAGTATTTCTACTAAGTCATAGTATTTCTGCCAAATCACAGTATTTGTGCCAAAGCATCGTATTTGTATGGAGTCATAGTATTTCTTCTAAATCATAGTATTTCAATCAAATCTCAGTAGTTGTTGTTAAAACGCAGTATTATTGCCAAATCATAGTATTTGTACCCAATCATAGTATTTCTGCTAAATCATAGCATTTGTGCCAAATCATGGTATTTGTGCAAAATCATAGTATGTCTGCAAAACCATAGTATATCTTTTATGTCATAGTATTACTACTAAGGCATAGTATTTCTGCGAAATCATAGTATTTGTACTAAATCATAGTACTTGTGCCAAATCATAGTATTTGTTGAACATCATAGTATTGGAACCAAAACATAGTATTTGTCCCAAAGCATCGTATTTGTATGGAGTAATAGTATTTCTTCTAAATCATAGTATTTCAATCAAATCTCAGTAGTTGTGTTAAAATGCAGTATTATTGCCAAATCATAGTATTTGTACCCAATCATAGTATTTTTGCCAAATCGTGGTATTTGTGCCCAATTAATAATTCTGTTATGTTATAGTATTACTACTAAGTCGTAGAATATCTGTTATGTTATAGTGTATCTGCGGAATATAGTATGTGTGCCAAATCGTAGTATTTACACCAAATCACAGTATTTGTGCTAAAACATAGTATTTCTGCCATATTGTGGTATTTGTGCAAGAACATTGAACTGTTATGTTATAGTATTACTACTAAGTCATAGTATTTCTGCGTTGTTATAGTATTTGTGCTAAAACGTAGTATCTCTGCCAAGTCATAGAATTACTGCAATTTAATAGTTTTTTTTAGGAAATCTGTTATGTTATAGTATTACTACTCAGTCATAGTATTTCTGCCAAATCATAGTATTCGTGTGAATTTGTATACTGTAATATCACTGTATTATGTAGTGGCTAAGTAGGGGCTGTTTACTAAGTGCATCAGTGTAAATAGGTCATCTCTTGTGTTGGAGTGCCCTCTTGTGGCGCCTTTTGGGTAGTGCCTTAGTAAACGGGAACCCTGTAAAAAGTGGCATCAGACTGATTTGTAGTGGAGGAATTTGTTACCAGTTTTCTTAATCTTTAATCTGTATGCATGTTGTAATGCATACCCTGTTCTTAATCATAGAAACCACACCATATCACCTCTCCACATCCTCCTACTGTATGCCATACCTCCCTGTACCATCCATCTGACCGCAATAAACTCCACCTGTGGTAATCTAATCCCTGGATGTCAGCCTCTCCTTCTGACCGAGGATAGTTATAGTATTTGAGCCAAATCATAGTATTTGTGCTAAAACATAGTATTTCTTCCAAATCATAGTATTTGTGCCAAAGTATAGTATTTCTTCCAAATCATAGTATAACTGCACAATAAAGGTTCTTGAGCCACATCAGTGTTTGTGCCAAATCTTAGTATTTCTTCTAAATCCTAGTAATTCTGCTCAATGATAGAATTTCTGCTATGCTTTAGTACTTTTTTCCTAGATTGTAGTACTTCTGCTAAGTCAAAGTATTTCATGTAAATCATAGTATTTCTACCAAGTCCCAATGTTTCTGCTAAATCATAAATAATGTTTTAGTACAAATTGTATGATTTGGTGGAACTTTCTGTGTTCCAGCACAAATGCTATGATTTGGCAGGAAAAAAATATTATTTAGTATAAATACTAAGTTTTAGCAGAAATGCTATGTTTAAACTTTAAAAAATTCTGCTATTTCTGCTGATGTGTGTTATGACTTTTGACCATTGAAATGAATGGAACACATTATCAATGTGGTCACTGATTTTGCATGATGGGCTGAGCTGTGCTTTACCTCAGTGAGATAAGTATCCGTTCTCAGACTGGGAGGCCTGGGTTCAAATCCAGCTTATGGCAACATTTCTTTCACTTAACAGTTAAACTTTTT